TGGAGGTTTAGCAACTCCTTTTATAAAATATTTTGCTAAGTTCTACAAGCAAATGATGGAAGGGAGAGTGGGCAGAGTGATGACTAATTCCTGAGTTCTGCATCTGTGGAAAATAGCTTCAGTCAAATCCTATGTATTTCCCATAGAGAAGCTTTCTATACTTTTATCATTCATCCTTTATAAAGAAAAAAAAAAAAAAGGTGTGATTTGTATCACTAAAGATCAGATAGCACATTGCAGAAAGTGTCTGTTTTAATCTTTTGATTTGTCTCATGAAGACATGTCTTTCCTGTCCACAGGAAGGCTTATGCACCTCTATGCTGTTTGTGTAGACTGCTTAGAAGGGGTTCACAAAATTATCTGCATCAAGTGCAAGTCCCGATGGGATGGAAGCTGGCATCAGCTGGGAACTATGTATACCTACGATATTCTGGCAGCATCTCCCTGTTGTCAGGTTAGTACTATACGTAAATAAGACTCACAAGGTGGAATTGCTGCTGATGATAAAGTCAAGGTTTGTGTATCTCTTCTCCCTTCCCTCCTTCCGTCTTTTGCAGTCTGTACCTATGAGTGGAATACAAGAAAGCTGACTGGGTCCCTGTCCCTTTGTCTTGAGTTAAGAAATACAACAGCCTATAGCTAGACAAAAGCCATTGCAATGGTCAATGGTTAATACTTATGTTTTTAAATAAAGCCCCCTTAAATGCATTTGCAATTAAATCCAATGCTGCATCACTAGCATCAGATATAATTCCACATTTTCAGCAGATGTTTCAGGTTTTCAGGTTTTTTAGTTCATAAATCATGTCTTATCATAATTGTAGCAAAGAAGCTCCAAGGGAACAGAAAGGTCTTAAGTGTCTTCGTGCTTGGAGATTACTCAGCTCTCCTTAATCTTTGCTGTGACTGACTGGTGATGGTGCTTCATCCACCACAGCTTGAAGCAACTTAGTTTTTATTAAATGCTCACCTAATCTATACCTTGAGTTAGGAAGATCCAAGGCCTGGGGCTGCTCCAGAGTAGACATGTGCCGAAGGCAGCAGGTTAGTCAGCATTCAATAGAATTTTCTTTGTGATGGATAGAGCACTTCTGCTGTGCAGGTAGGGGTAGACAGCTGTGAAAAAAGCATTTGTCTGGGAATGAACTCGGTGGTCCACTCCAGATGCTCAGTCACAGAGGTGTTGTTGGTAGGTTAGGACAGGAGCCTCACAGAGATGCACACTTTCAGTCTGTGCTTGCTTCATGGTGATGTGCATACTTAAGAGCACTCTAAAATACCATTTTGTCAATATGAAAAATGTCAGTTTATTTTAAATCTGACGTATTTACCAAAATGTGTTGCTTGAAAGACAAGTGGTGTTTCTGCTGCTGGTTAAGATGACATTGATCGCAATTATAGCTACAGACAGATACATTACCTCCAAATTTAGTGAACATTGAGAATGTAACTTAAAAAAATAGGGATAAAACACTGATGCTGACTTGCTGTCTTTGTAAAAGGCAGCAACTTTAAATCTGAATTGCTTCTCTAGAATGTATAATACAAGAATTAAGAGCTCATTATACAAGAGCCCTAATTACATGGTTAATGGACAGTGTGACAGTACGTGGTATGAGAACTGATTATAAAATCATTAGCTGCAGTGACTGTGATTGCCAGATAATACACATTCTTGTTTCACCGTGATTGTTACAGGTGATTCCATGCATACAGAGGAATGACATTTAAATATGGTATATGATTTAACTCCAAATTGCCTTGCTGATTTTATTTTGAATAATTTCATGCCTTATTTCAAAATATTTAATTCTACACCACAAATTTTTATGAAGGATAAAGCCACTGTCACTAAAAGCCACTAAAGCCACTGAATGGCCAGTCTTCGCGAACGAAGAACCGGGGAAGGTCTTTCCACCTTCCAGCCTGCGCATTGGATTTTTTAGATGAGACACAGTGTGCGCGGAACTGAGCCCACCCTTTAATCCTGAGGTTCATCTGCCGGGGCCAAGCACGCTTGGACGGTGGCAGCGAGGTCCTCAGGACGTAGATGGATTGCCTT